CGATCATTTTCCGTTTTGTTAGCCATTTTGAGTGGGACCTGTCGGAAACCGGTGTAGGGACAGTGATTTTCCGCGATCGCAGAAAACGGACGGAATTCACGGAAATGGCCATTTGAAACGGAAAATACAATTTGGAACGGAAAATCGTTTTTGCTAAAATGTTCACTTTGTGAAGAAGAAAACTGTAAAATTTACACTTTCTTTTGATTTTGTTACCATTAGAATAATATCGAACCTAAAATCAACCTTGATAACACCGAATTCTTACTCTTACTGTCTGAATAGTACTTATTGTAGAATACTGATGTTTGGGCCGTAGTAACGTAATGTTGACCTTACATTACGTTACTACGGCCCTGACCTTACATTACGTTACTACGGCCCTGACCTTACATTACGTTACTACGGCCCTGACCTTACATTACGTTACTACGGCCCTGCCGTAGTAACGTAATGTAAGGTGGGTGGGTGACCTTACATTACGTTACTACGGCCCTGACCTTACATTACGTTACTACGGCCCTGACCTTACATTACGTTACTACGGCCCTGACCTTACATTACGTTACATCGGCCTTGACCTTACATTACGTTACTACGGGCCTGACCTTACATTACGTTACTACGGCCCCGACCTTACATTACGTTACTACGGCCCTGACCTTACATTACCATACTACGGCCCTGACCTTACATTACGTTACTACAGCCCTGACCTTACATTACGTTACTACGGCCCTCACCTTACATTACGTTACTACGGCCCTGACCTTACATTACGTTACTACGGCCCTAACCTTACATTACGTTACTACGACCCTGGCCTTACATTACGTAACTACGTCCCTGATGCTAGGTTACGTTGTCTCACACATAGGAGCTTGAAAGGAAGTTTAGCAAGACAGCAGCGTACGCGAGCATGAAGAAGATTCTTGCCAAGAAGAATGAACAGGTGAAAGACCTACGCAAGGCCCTGTCAAAGTAAGCACCTCCGCCACCGTAGCCGCCAACGACGGCTTAAATTAATTATTTTATGTTATATGTATTTTAGTTATAACTAAATTATTAATTTCTTTGTTTGAATTATTCCATTTATGTTACATTGTTGTATTTCATTAATTTTTCAAATTGATTCATTTTATTAAGATTAAATTTGATCTATTTTTATTAAATCATGTATTAGTGGAGAGGGGAGCGAAATATGTAGTGATATGTATAGCAAGGAGAAATAATAGTACAAGAGAGTTCATTATTTTGTGAAGTGTGTGATTACCAATGTGACACGTACCTTGTTGCCTTTATACTACCTTGGAATGACCTCTGCTTGTAAGCAGTTCTAAAGAAGTTTTCATTCATTTTTTTTCTCCATTTTCTCGATTGTATCTTGCAGGTATGAAACACTTGACGACTTACCCGTGGAGTGATTAGTAAAATTCTCGGCCGCCATGTGGAGCCACATGCACATCAGTGAACTAGCTACGGACATGGCATAGGACTTCTGCTAGGGTGTTGCTATCCCCCGGGCGTGGAGGGACAGTCACGCGATACAGTTGACGTATACTTCAAAGTCCAAATCTTCCACACAAAGATTCCACAGTCATACCTCCGTACTAGACATGGCCTTATATCCCTAACCCTAACCCTAACCCTAATCCTAACCCTAACCCTAACCGTAACCCTAACCCTGATCCTAACCCTAATCCTAACATTAGTGCTGCCACATTGCGGTACTGTCCCTCCACGCCCGGGGGATAGCATTTCCCCTTCTGCTACTGCTACTGCTATTGCTGCTGCTGCTGCTATTGCTGCTGCTGCTGCTGCTGCTATTGCTGCTGCTGCTGCTAGTGCTGCTGCTGCTGCTACTGCTATTGCTGCTGCTGCTCTTACTGCTGCTGCTGCTGCAGCTGTTGCTACTGCTGCTGCTACTGCTGCTGCTGGTGGTGGTGGTGGTAATGATGGTGATGGTTGTAGTGGCAGTGGTGGTGGTTGTCATGGTGATTGCGAGAGCAGTTGCGCGCGATATATTGCGATTCACAGCGACAATGACACAGGTATCTAGACGTATATCTACGTGTCTGCGTGATATGCGCATCTATGCTATACGCACGACGTCATTCGTCGATTACACTGCTGCTCTGTTGTTTTCCGATTCAATGTTTATCGCACGCGTTTTTTCTCACACTGGTCACTGACTGTAATAGTTTATCATTCACCACAAAAACAGAGAGCCAAGTAATCCCTTATAAGGCAACAAAAGCTGTGTGTCCGTCCATCCCATACATCCGTCCCAACTCCTCGGTCTTTATACATGTTACTAAAAAGGCTCATCTTGCGAACGAGAAGGTGAAAAAGCACGAGTATTATTAGTATCATTATTATTATATTATTATGATGTGATTATTGAATCAGTATATATTTTCACTTGTGTGAGCGTGTGTGTGTGTGTGTGTGTGTGTTTTAGCACATTGATATGTTGTGATACGTGCATAGTATATGTCGATATCGATGAGGTAGCGTTTATGACGGCTTTTGCTGTCTATGTGTTTACGTTGCGTTCGTCAGTGAGCATTCCTTGACATTCTTTGTGTCATAGAGTGTGTGTGTGTGTGTGTGTGTGTGTGTGTGTGTGTGTGCGTGTGCGCGTGCGCGTGCGCGTGCGCGTGCGCGTGCGCGTGCGCGTGCGCGTGAGGTGTGTGTGTGTGTGCGTGCGTGCGTGCGCGCGCGTGCGTGCGTGTGTGTGTGACCGGCAGCGCAAAGCGTATCTCTGAGTGGGTAGATAGATGTCTATTACGTTTAGACAGCTATCTGGTGAAAACTCATAATAGTAGTGTGGTAAGTATTTTGTTGTATGCCACACAGCTGGATAGGTTGCGTAGTTTTATGTGTGCGTGCGTGTATACATGTGTGTGCGTGTGTTTATCTGTGTGCGTGAGTGTGCGTGCTCTCGTGCGTGCATGTGTGTGCGTGCGTGCGTGCGTGCATGTATGTGCGTGCGTGTGTATCCGTGTGCGTTAGTGTGCGCGCACTTTCGTGTGTGCATGCGTGTGCGTGCGCGCATGCATGCGCGTGCGTGCGTGCGTGCATGCATGTGCGTGCATGCATACGTGTGCGTGTATCCATGCGTGCGTGTGTGTGTATCACTGTGCGTGAGGTGTGCGTGCTGGCGTGCGTGCCTGCGCGTGCGTGCATGCGTGCGTGTGAATTGAATATCATTCCATCCTCGTTTGGGATAAGCAGAGAGAGAGAGAGAGCGTGTAAGTTGTATTTTAAATTGCACCGAATAAACACCATGTATTTATTTGCGAACCTCAAAATCACGTTCGAATTGTTTCATCGATAAATCGATTATCAGCAATGGTGATCGATTGATTGATAGTCAAACGCTGTTTATTTCGTGAAGTACGGGCAAAAATAACAAATACAACAATATATCATCACAGAGTTTAATCTTATTGTGATTTGTGAATGCAGAGTTAACGTCGATAACGTTGGATTCTAAGCAATTCTCACCATTTATAAAGTCGTAAAAAATCACATAGGAGTACCCTGTATTTCTTCTTCAGAAGTTCACAACATTTCTTACAAAGATTACTACGAGTGGGAATTCGGTTTATTTTACAAATACTGGTTTCCAATTGAATCGCCTATGTTTCAATCAATCGTTCTTCCGCTCCCCTCCCCTCCCCACACCACCAGCTACAAGAATCACACCCCCCCCCCTCCTCCCGGGAAGGAAGTTCTCATGTATTCCGTCTATCTGCTCATGGTATCACGTGACAATCGTCGTGCCGTCATCGGTGCCCGCTAGAGGGCGTGGCAGCTAGCTCACTCGCTGCAAACATCTGGCATGCGACAACAATGACATCTGTTGTCAGAATCACTGTTTCTCTCTATACGCTAAGGCCTTAATATATGCGCATAATAAGACACCAATAAGGCACCTATAAGGGCTAATATGGCACCTATAAGGCCTAAAAAGGCGTAATAAGGCCCAATAATGCACCCATAAGACACAGCAAGGCACTTATAAGGCACCTGTAAGGCTTAATCCGAAAAATCAGAGTCAGAGTAATTTCCATGCGCGGTAGTGGCGCCATCTATAATATCCTCTGCAGGGCGTGCGCGATGACAAGTAGTAGAGCTGAGACAGACAATACTGCCATGTGCCCTGAAATAGAAGGTTCGCCGGTTAAACACTAAAACCATATAACTGATCACAGCGTAGCTAACTATATACACACGCGCGCGCGCACACACACACACACACATACACACGCCCCCCCCCCCCACACACATACACCCCCACACACACACACACATCCCCCCACACACACATACACCCCCCCCTCCCACCTCACACACACACACATCCCCCCACACACACATACACACAGCCCCCCCCCCACCTCCCAACCCCACACACACACCTGAGTCAGGCTTCGATGTGGTTATTATGGTGGGCGGTTCAGTCGGCGGCGTTGACGTCTGCGCGCAATCCCATCCCGTCTTGATCGCATTCTCATTGATCTGCGTGTCCAGCCACTCGATGAGAGGGTTGAAGTACTCTATGAGGGCTCCAGCATCCATCATCTTGTCTCCGGTTAGCATCTCCATCACCTCGGGCCACGGACGCGAGGATCCCATCCGGAGAGCGGCCCTGCACGTCAACGCGGAGAAATAGTGGTGATGTGATGTAATGTGATGTGATGATGTGATGTGATGCGATGCGATGCGATGCGATGCGATGCGATGTGGTGCGGTGCGGTGCGATGCGATGCGATGCGGTGCGGTGCGGTGCGATGCGATGATGTGATGTGATGTGATGTGATGTGATGTGATGTGATGTGATGTGATGTGATGTGTTGTGATGTGATGTGATGTGATGTGATGTGATGTGATGTGATGTGATGTGATGTGATGTGATGTGATGTGATGTGATGTGATGTGATGTGTTGTGTTGTGATGTGATGTGATGTGATGTGATGTGATGTGATGTGATGTGATGTGATGTGATGTGTTGTGATGTGATGTGATGTGATGTGATGTGATGTGATGTGATGTGATGTGCTGTGATGTGATGTGATGTGATGTGATGTGATGTGATGTGATGTGATGTGATGTGATGTGATGTAATGTAATATTATGTAAGGCAATGCAATGCAAATGTCAAAGTCAACCCAAATACAAAGTCACGCAACCGTCGCTTGTTTTTGCAGGTGGTGCGGGTTGTCTCACGAGCTTGTGGTATTTGTATGTAGTTTATGACTCACCGGAGGAGCATCCACGTATTAGTGAGGTTGAGAGGAACTACATCAAGGGATCCTTAAAAGGACAAGTTCACACGCTGGAGAAATTGGTGCATATCTACTCGTCGACTCTTCTAGCAAATCCAATCAATCCACTTACAATTCAACCTAACTATGTCTACTAGTCATCTCTCCACTGACACTCTCTATCAATAGTAATGTGCCATCCATTTTTACTACTTCTAAATTCAATCTCTACTATTTCTATCATCCATAGCTCTACTAACTTTCTAATCTGCACATAATAGCTGAGCCATCTATCTCTAACATCATTCGCATCTGCTTCTACAATCTCTAGTATTCATGCATTTCTACTAGCTTTGGTATTCTAAAGAATTCGCGCGCTGAATAATTAGCGGATGACTCCGCGATGATTTACGTCGCTGTTACCGCTTCATCCAGCACAAGGAAATTCCGTGGGGCAAGATACTGACGTCACCGACAGTATGGCTGCTGATGTACACATTCATGACGTACGCGTGGGGCCTCTCTATGACACTCACCAACCTTCCTACGTACATGTTCGAAATTCTTAAGTATGACATGAAATCGGTGAGTATGAGCGAGAATAGGCCACGCATGTGTTCTCTAGTAAGAATTAGCAGAGAGCTAGAGTGCGTAAAGCTATACGTGCAGTGAGTGCTTACTGACGACTAGTGCATAAATATCGAGTGGTAACATTGCGACAATGTCTCTTACACTACCAAGCATCACCTGCTATTTCAAAGTTTGATTCGGATCATTAATTAACCTGTTCATGTGTTCGATCACCTAGCATGTGAAATGACATACTACCGAACAACAGCCGAATAGTGTTACACATGACTTCTCTTTAAGAATGGATTGCTATCGGCGTTGCCCTTCATATCCAGCTACGTAGCACAAAACATCAGCGGCGCATTAGCAGATTTCGCCATGTCGAGAGATTACCTGTCGAGAGTGTGGATGCGCCGAATATGGACGACTATAGGTGAGCAGAAATCTATTCGCAGAAACTCGCATCGTGTTTAAATCGGCAAACCCGACTAAGATCTGGAGATATTATGTAACCGCGCAGTTATCATTGCGTTTCAACAACATGTTTCGTGTGCACGCGACACAGCATGATTCAACGCCATGTCTCGCAGGTCTGTTCGGTACGGCCATCTTTCTGGTCATCGCCGGTTACATTGACTGTAAGAACGCCTGGCTCGCCGTACTGATGATGGTCATCGGAAATTTCTGCAATGGCTTCATATTCGGTGGTCTTGGAGTCGCCCATCTCGACGTGGCCCCGCGATTCGCATCCGTAATCTTCGGTGTTATTACTACGGTGGCGTGTTTGTGCGGCATAATGTCGCCTTATCTGATCGGCATCATAACCACAGACGTAAGTCCTTCTCACGTACGATGTCTTCATGGTGGGTGCGTAGATGCAGTGCCTTGCTACTACTCTCTCGGTACACATAATATCTCGTTCCATTTTCACTCGCCTGTCTTTTGTGTCTGTTCGCCGCTGTTTGGGGGGGAACATATCTTTTAAGCGGAATTATACGCATAAATATAATTGAGATAGTATCGCTGGAACAGAGTCATTCATCTACACCAGCAATTTAAGGTCATGACGTCACAAAAATTCGTATCTGTTTAACGTGAAAGCTCGCGTATTACAGCGCAAACGCCAGCGGCTGGTTGGACAAACCGACTAGAGCTAGCTTTCTTGTAGATGTTAGATGTTATTTGGCGGAAGTGTGATGGCTATTTGTATTTTGGACAGTAAACATAGCAGTTACATGGTTACAGCGGTGGTATTGCTGTGTAATATAGTACTTCATAGTGATTAGATAGGACAGTATGTAACATTATCGAACCCAGGTAAGACGTGTTTTTTTAATGTTGTTGTTTTGTAGCAAACTCAACAGCAGTGGCAAACCGTGTTCTACATCAACCTTGCGATTCAGTTATCCGGCGCCATTTTGTTTGGAATCTTTTTCCATTCGGACATACTTCCGTGGGCAGCGGTAGACGTTGACGATACCGTAACGCTAGCCAAGGAAGCACGGATTCACAACGGCTTATATAAACACAGCAACGACAATCCTACCCATCACCGTGTTCATCACGCTGCTGCCAATAACATTGAGATCACAAAGCTGTGATCACGAGTATTAGACTGATTTATGGAAAATTTACCACCTACCATCTACATCTACATCTACATAGCTGTCCATTATGTCATGCTACAGTATAGCGACTATTGTAATAATATACACAATGAAATGAATAAAAATCTATTCCTAAATTGCGTATGCGTTGTTGTTATATTGATATCGCTTATTCGAGAAAATAACGTGAGCATCCTTGCATTCTACCAGAAGCATTTTGTACCCAATGCAGAATCATGTTGCTGACAACGGACGGTCTGCTTCTATGCTATGCTACGCTGGTAGGCTACGCTATTTTACGCTATGCTACATTATGCTGATATGCTGATACGCTACGTTATGCTGCTATGCTATGCTATGCTATGCTGTGCGACGCTATGCTGTTATGCTACTCAATGCTGCTATGTTGTATGCTCTGCTCTGCTATTCTATGATATGCCGCTAGTCTATGCTCTGCTATGCTGTGCTATGCTATACTATGCTCTGCTATGCTATGCTATGCTATGCTATACTATGCTATGTTATGCTATGCTATGCTATGCTATGCTATGCTATGCTATACTGTACTATGCTATGCTATGCTATGCTATGCTATGCTATGCGATGCTATACTATACTATGCTATGCTATGCTATGCTATGCGCATCCTAAAACCCCTCTTTAACCCATCACTATCTTAACAAGCGCTTCGTGAAACGGCCCCCTGATTCCCTTCGTAGCACAACTAAATCCTATTATAAACGGCCATTGAACATGAAATTGCCTTCAGTACAGGAAATTACGATGTACGAGGCAAGTCAGAAATTATATGACGATTCTTGTATTTGCTCAAATACCTATCCTGCACACTAGGCTGCTCATCTCCTGCACACTAGGCTGCACGCGTACTGCACACTAGGCTGCACATCAGCAATACAGCATAGCAGCATGGCAAAGCATAGCATAGCATCGTGAAACACTCTATATATAAGGACTTAGCGAGGCTTTTTTTCACGTTTCACAAACGTCTCGCTAACTCAACGACATTGCTATTAAGGAGGAATATTAAGGACAGGTCAGGGGCAGTACTTAGGCTATCGTACAGCAAGCAACGCGAGATTTCCCGCGTTTTCATTGTTTTGGCAAGCAGTAGTGTAAAGCGAAAACCCGCCGAGAAGGTAACTTCTCTGTGTCTACGAGAATACTGTGCAAGGCCTGTGAAGGCATGACGCTCAGGGGTTAAGTGTGGCTAAGAAGCTTCTTATTGTGGTAGCAGATTTTGAAGAGATGAAATGCTTTGTTGCACCTTACATGGGCTTCGGCTGTTCGTGTATGTAATTACTGTATCCTATGGCGCTAATACTGTATCAAAGTAAACGTAAATCTAAACCTTCAGAATTTATGTTGCATTTTTGTTCAGTCAATACGTTATTTGTGGTAGTTCTAGTTGCAGGAAATATGACAACCTTGCTTTAGTTTAATTATTTCTCAGGTACTTGGCATTTAAAAATACTTTTAACCTATTATTTTTAGTTTGCACGCTGTTGCACCTATTATACATTTATTAAAACCAAATGACGCGAGAGATTAGTAACAACTCACAGCGCGCGCGAGAGATTAGTATAGCGTAGCAACTCACAGTTAGCTGGGTCGCCATTAGACTTGTAACATGTCTCTATATATAGACTATCTAGTAGCAAGGTGTAGAGATAGGGTACCAGTCTATGCCGCCAGCAACATCGTTACAGCTGAATTTTAAGGACCGTCTAACAACGCAAAGGCATAAGTTTCGTGAAACACTTTAACGAGGGACGTTTAGGACAGCGTTAGGCTCTCGTACAAGAATTCTAAGGATATCCTTAAGATGGTGTTTTTACGATAGCTTCTTGAAACGGGCCCCCATGGTTATAATCCGGCTCGTGGAGCAGGCGGGACGCAATGAGGAAATGATCACTGCTTTTGAATCTAGTCAGCAGTGCCACTCGTCGTTAGCGTAGATGTCAGATCATGGTATATAGCGCGCGAGAGAGAGAGAGAGAGAGTGCACGCGTGCGTATGTGCGTGCGTGCGTACACGCGAGTGCGTTGAAAAATAGTTCGTGTAAAGCGTTTATATATCATCACCTGGCGCGTCCGTTAGCACAGTTCTGTGAAACCTGCACGCGTATAAGTGCATGCGCAAACGTGTTAGTGTCGCGCAGTGTGTAAGGGTGTAAGGGATGATGGGGTTAGGGAGGTTCCGGCGTGTCTGAGCTCCAACGTCAAAACCAGAGAGAATATGAGATACTATGATACTATCAGGAGAGCGAGATAAGATAATATAGGAGGAGTATATGACTCTCCAAACACTGTGAATTTCAACATTTATGTTGCCTAATATTACACGATGCATATACTTTCACGTCGCAACTCGATAAGAAATTCACTCTAAACTGGAGCGTTGACATCCGCTCTCTAGAACTAAACTTTCTTTGTAATAAATACCTCATTGTCCTTTACGGAGATACTGCCCTTTGAAACGTCAGCACATGGTTCATAGGTTTAACAAGCTGGCGGCCGCACGATTGCCCAGATAGCTTCGAACAGTGGCTAGCCTGTGAGAATCGGTTCTTTTTTTTTTTGGTTATTTTTTTTGTCTGTTAGACAAGAATCTGCCACCCTGTTTGCCGCAGGAGTAAGCAATAACGTATAATGGACATTATATTAATTTAAGATAATACTAGTATGAATGTGTGTATATATATATAGTGTGTATATATGTGATCTGTTACTATATATACCGGTGTATTTATTATAGTATATAGGATAAGTATATATTATGTGTGTATGATATAATAGTTAGAATTATAATATAAGAAGTCTATAATTATTGATTACTCCTGCCGCCAACGAGTGGCATAATCTTGTCAACAGACAAGTACCATTCCTCACAGGCTAGCCACTGTCCGAAGCCTATCTAGGGCAATCTGAGGCCGCCGCTTAGTAAACCACCTATTGAACCATGTGTGCACGTTCAAAGCCTTATATCTCCGTTAAAGGCAAGGTATTGTTAACACAAGTAAATTTTAGTTTAGGCGGAAATGATCCCAACGCTTCATGTAGAGTAATTTTTTCGCGAGTTTGCAGCGTAAGTATATTGAGCGGCTAAAATTAGTGTAGGCAAAGATAATGTTGAAAATTTCACATGTTTTGGAGAGTCATACTCCTCATCATATATCTTACTCCTGGATGATACTATGTTACTCGCTGGATATTCCTTGCACTACACAAGATATCTATCCTACATCTATCATATCTAATCTATCTATCTATCTATCTATCTATCTATCATCTATCTATCTATCCTATCTATCTATCTATCTGTCCTATCTCGCTCTACTACATATATATAAATATATATAAATGTGTGTGTGCGTTGTGGCAGTGTGCGTGTGCGTCGTGCGGGCGGTGTTGCGTAATGCGTCCGTGCGTGTGCGTGTGCGTATGTGTGCTGATCGTGGCCTGATTTGTGATACAAAGAACCAAATATAGGCTCGTGCTTAGCTGAACCATTTTGTGAAACAGTTATTATTTGTTAAGATATATCACCTCTGTGGCTAAATAAATCAAATTGGAAGATTGCGAACAATAATAACTGATTGTGTAAGCCACTACATGTACTGGTCTGCGCACTTGTCAGACTGACGATGACGTACCGGAGTGCTCTAGTCATTTCTTACCGTGTTCACCAATAATAATTTCAGCGAAGGGAATAATAATAGACTCTATTATTAATTATAGATCTATAATAATATCCATAATTATTCTCTCTGATAAGTTATGTGTCACGTTAATTAAGGGCCGGTTAAACATGCGCAATAACATACATTCCACTTTTACGTTCGCAGCTAGTAGTGCATGATCTCAAGCCTCGATGCCCTGAATTGTTCTGACATTGAGTCAAATATTTGCAAAACTTGTTGCGGTGATTTGCTGCTGTATGCGATTCAAATAATTAGATATAAATGAGCAGTATTAGTTATCTGGCATAGTTGTGACTCGCCGTGCGTTAGCTTTGCGAAGACGAACGTCAAAAAACGATGACCGAGTGATTATGTATAAATATGCCGGGGGTGCTATGAGGAAGTAATTTTACGGTGCTATAACGCGCTATCTAGATAAACTCTATACATACATACATACCATATCATACATACATATCATACATAACTACATTACATACATAGATTAGCATACATAGCATACCATACATACCATACCATAACATACATACATACAGTACGACGCACAGCGCCCACGCCACCACACGCCGGCGCGCCACGCAGCACCGCACGCCACGCACGCACCACGCACACACACATACATACATACACACCGCTGTCGCACGGCACGTCACGCAGCATGCACTGGCCAGCATACGTAAGGCCTGGGCGCGAATGCAAGACTGCTACTACCTATAGTACAATACAACCCAATAAATAACTTCTCGCAATAAAAACCCGGTTTGATTCTTACTTCAATATTAGGCACGAATTCAAATATGGCGTAAACGTTGCGCGCTTCTCGGCTACCGACCTCTACCGAGAGAATTCGCAAAGTGGCTCGCCGAGTTATATGTACAATGAAAATGCCTGGAATGTCTGTCATTCGTCGTTAGCGACGAGGGTCATGAACTCGTCGCGGCCTGCCCCTCGCATGTCGCGCCACGGGCGATGAGGATCAATTTCGTCCTCGACGCGGTTTAACGATGGTTATGCGGTGCTGTGCGTCTCTTCTTGTGGAAGCGTTTAACGTATTCTACCTTGCCTGACTGCTCAACAGATCAATTTAGTGTAGCCTCTGGGGGGAACGCCTCTTTCTGCTGAAAACCCTTTGGCTCTTTTTAAAGTCGCTTAACGAAAACATTGTTCAAAGCGTCTACAGTGCGAATCAGATACATCGCAGCGGCATATCTTGAAAGAAATGCGGTGGGTTAAGTGTATTCCTGTTAGCTCCTGCCAGCGATGTCAATCATGAATTGTTGGCTCTCGCATCAGTATTAGGGACTGCGCTGGCATTGGTAGGAAACCTATAAATGCTGTATTTCGGCTCTTAAATACGCAGCTGTTTCTTCGTAGTTGCTTACGAAAT